AACCCCTTGATCACATTCTTCACTGCATTATTCATCAGCCTCTCTCTCTCTCTCTCTCTCTCTCTCTATATATATATATATATATATATATATATATAAAGCTTTAGAGCCATAGAAATCAGCTGGTCAAAACCCCAACAAAGGCAAGCTAAGACATTGTTTGTAAAAATGTCTAGGTGGGTTTTTGTTCATATGTACAGAAATGTGAGAGTATGTTTGAAAGTTCTCAACTTTAACAATGTGTGGTTTTCACTTTTTGTTGTCATGAACTCTGTGTAGTAGAAAATTAGACAAGTCAAAATGGAAGGTGGAGGGGCACAGAAGGAGCCCAAGAATATCTGCTTTGGAATCCTGTAAGGCTCAGCGGCCAAGACTCCTGAGCATCACTGGTACAAGTACTACTGGCACTGCTGCTACAGCTACAGCTCGTAATTTTAGTGCACAGAGAATGAAGCGCAACTTGGGTAACGGTGAGGGGCCAGCTTCCAGAACAAGGGCCAGAAAGAAGAGCAACCTCGGACCTGTTCGAGAAGTTGCTGCCACAACACCTTCATCCCCATCAAACCAGGAAAGTTATTTTTCTTTTCTTTCTCCCATTGCAATTTATATCACTTAAACTCCTATGTTCTCCAAATAAATGGAGTGTTGTGGGCTAAAAGTGACATTATATTTGTATATAAGGGGTTTTTGTAATCATATCAAGTCACCAGTTCCTCATTATGTTGTTTGAGCTGAGTAATTTCCAATACCAATTTAACGTCTGTACTGTCATGCAGGTTCGAGAAGAAACCAGCCCTGAAGATCACCAAACTAATAGTGGTGAGCCCTTTTTCTGCATAATCACGTTCTCTGCTATTTCAATGACTTTGCTGCTGCTGTTGTTATCTGTAGTCTATTTGTTTTTCTTTCAGATCAACAGGTTGTGCGGGGTAAAGATCTTAAGCCTGGAGTTCATGCTGCCTCTACTGGTTAGCCTCATTTCTTGATTGAGAAGTCTCATTGTACATCGGCTGCTTTATGATTTTACACATTCTAACTTAATGCTTGTATTAGATCAACCATCCACTGAATCTTCACTGCAGTTGCCGGAAAAACGCATACTTGAGCTTATCCTTGACATATTACAGAGGTGGGTGCTCTTCCCATTTTATTGTAACACTCTTCACAATGAATTATGTGTATCTAAAACTGCAACAATTCAAAAAACTGTCGAGTACTCTTTTGATGAATTCATCTTAAGCATGAATTATTTGTGGTTACATCTATATTTTACATAGTTATTAGGAAATTTCTTCATTATGTTGATACATATTTTCCAAAAATTACAGGAGAGATACCTATGAAATATTTGCGGAACCAGTTAACCCAAATGAGGTGCAAATCTCCTTGCTACTTTGTCATTTCATATAATGAATGTGTTCTTTTTCTTTTCTCAGTCATGGTTTTAAATTTTCCTGCTCTTTTATAAGGTTGAGGGTTACTATGAAATCATCGAAGAGCCTATGGATTTTGGGACCATGAGGGCTAAACTTCATGAAGGAATGTATAGAAATCTTGAACAATTTGAGGTATGCTCCTTTCTCAAAAATTAGTTCTGCTTTCACTGTAGTTTGTTTTTTAACCATAAATCTCCCAATGGCAATACCTCACCAAAGCATTCTTTGTTTAATTTTGTCTCAACTTGAGGACAAATGGCTTATTAATTGCCTCCTCTAATTGAACTCAAAATAATAGTAATGTAAGATTCATAATATTTCAGACTCTGTTATTTAATTTTCTGCTCACTAAGGCATTTTTGTCTCATTTTACTCTGTATGCACTATAATGGAAAATTCAGACTTATCCAATTTCAGATATTGCTGGTATAAACTATTTAAAATGTCCTTGCATGCCAGATAATCTTAAATTTCTAATATTCGGAAAGCAGTTATTCTTTTTCTCACATAACATATGCAAACTAGAGTATGATCTGTTCGTGATTCCGCTAGTTATAAAGCTGTCTTTGGCTGTTTAGACTGTTTGCTATTTATATATCATCTACTGCGACATCTGATTACAATTAATGAACTGTTTGCAGCATGATGCATTTCTAATAACAGAAAATGCAATGCATTTTAATTCTACAGCTACCATATTTTTTAGACAGGTATGCTAATTCAATCTTCTGAAAACTTTTGGAAAGTTTAATCTGAATTCTTCAACTAGAAAATCTAAATATAATCCATGAACTGAATGAAACCTCTTGGTTTTTACAGGCTCGTGCCATACATGAGCTAACTAAGAAGGTATTTTATGTTTTGGAAACCTATCCTGAGAAATTTGAATTAGAATTCTCAGAGACAAGACAAAGAAGTGGTAGGAGGGCGCGAGGAGAAGCTGGGAGGTCAGCTTCTAGTTCATATCCTAAAATTGCTACAAACATGAAATCCCATAGCATGAAGATAGCTGAATTTTCTAAAGCTATTTCATGCTCACTTAGTGGTTCATCAAATGTCAGAAGATGTCAAGTAAAGACAGGGTGCTCTGGCACTTTTGATGCAAGAGAGCACAGAGTTCTTTCTGGTAAGAAGTAAAAGATATGTTACGTTTTATGTTAATTTTGTAATTCTAAAGCCATCAAAAGTTCAAACTTCTAGCACACTGAGTTATGTAAATGACAAATGGTTTATGAACTAGATTTTATGTTTACTTATAATTTTGTGTTTTCCATGATAGAAATCTGAATTCAAATTTATCATGAAATCTAGATCTTTCCTATCTATTTTTACAGTCAGAATTTGGACTTTTGTGTTTGTTAATAATAGGTACTCAAGATGATAGAAGATCTAGATCTTTTGAAGCAGATCCACGCTGTACATATAGACCTTGGACATCCTACGTCGATGAGAATGAGTCAACTGGTTTGACACTATCTAGTAATTTAAAACAACTTGAGCATGTAAGCCTTCTTTTCTTGTGTTTTTGTTCTACATGTACATCTCGTTGGTCCTCGATAACTTGATGCCAAATTTCCTGCAAGGCTAAGAAAACTAATGTAGTTTTTCATTTATGTTTCATTGATTGATGTCACAAAAACTACCATGAGAACAGTCAATTTTCTGTGTAGGCGAATCAGCAGGATATTGGTTACACTGAAAGCTTGATGTTGTTTGTTAAGGACTTGGGACCAACAGCTCAGAAGATTGCCAGAAAGAAGTTACTTGGATCTTTCCAGTTGCAAAAAAGTCAGATTCCTTTGGCATCTACCTTTACCCAGTGGGCACCTAGTACTCTGAGTGATATATTTGCTTCATCACAATCTCAAAACTTCCAGGGCAACCTTCATGGGCATCCTTCTGTCATGAAGAGCACTGGTGACAGTTTCCATTCATGGGATGCTGATAAAAGAGAAAAGGGATCTTTAGGTGGTGAAATTGGCATCCAAAGTGGCAAAGTTGCAGTGGCATCCAGTAGTGACAGAAAGAACTCACATGGTACTTTTGGAGGGAAAATTCAGTCCAGTGAATTTCATCAGAACAGAAGAAATGAGATTCAGTTGGATTCTTATTCCTTGAAAACTCATGCTGCAGACAACAGTTGCTCAGTTTCTGGGTTCAAAAACATTGGCAGCAACTCAACACCACTTATACTGAACCAATGGAAGTCGGTTAATCAAACACAATCATTGGAGCCACCCCAATGGAAGTCGGTTAATCAAACACAATCATTGGAGCCACCCCAATGGAAGTCGGTTAATCAAACACAATCATTGGAGCCACCCCAATGGAAGTCGGTTAATCAAACACAATCATTGGAGCCACCTTCAGATTCTTCTCAGTCAAATTTGTTGGAACCAAGGTTGAGAAACTTGGGATTTTCAAGTTTTAGTCGAACTAAGAACAAATTGAGTTCGTTTCATTCGAGAGGAGATTGTGATCAAACCAAAGCTGAGACAAGCCAAGTGTCAAAAACAGACCAAGCCAGGCCACTGGTTCGCCAGTTCACATTTGATCTGCCATATTTGAGAGCCCGACTTGGTAAGATAAATTCTTCGGGACAAGATAGATTCTTGCAGAAAGGTTCAGGTGCTGAGCTGATCTTGCCTGATAAAAATAGTCATCAGAGAACTTCAACCTGTACCCGCCATTTGGAGATGAGAAAGCCTTATAGTGATTATCAAAACCAGCCTTCAATGGATACTCAGTACACTGATTTAGCTCTTCAGCTGTAAGAAAACGACCGAAGTTCTAAAACAAAAGAAATATTTGACCTTCCTGTACTTAAATCCGTTGTTAAAATGTCATACAGAAAGTCCAAATGTGTAACTCAAAAATTGTTCAAGATCATTCTCTTGGAAGTGCTAATTGGCTCAAAAATTTATTGAAGAAAAAAAAAAGATTCATGTGCTTGAGAGCTTGACCGGTCAATGTCATACCAAGCAATCACATTATAAAGAGACTGGGGTGGCATACGAACATAGTTACTTGCTCCTAAAGCAATAAGATAATTATACAAAATGGCTCACACGTCACAACAGCTAGTTCCCAGAGGGTCCAGTTGGATGATGAAGTCCTTTTACAAGTTGTCCCACAACAACAACAACAGCACATTACAACAACAGCATTCACATTGTGATTAATTCATACCCTAACAGAGAAACGTGAATCTGTCAATCTAACAGCTTTCTCGTTAAATGAGAACCCGCATTCGTATTGTAGTAAAATCCAAATCCAAATTGAAATGATTAAATTTGTTTTGTGTAGTTAACGTATGTGCCTTAGTTGGATGGATGGTTATGGAAATGAAAATCCAAAGGCAAAGAAAGAGAACAGGTGTTGAAACAGAAGGCATATAGGCGATGTATTATATATAGGGAGAGAGGTGTTTGCTATTATTTTTCTGTTTCTGGTTTGTGTGTTTGCGGCATAACATTCATTCATTTCATATTTCGGTTTTTTATTTGCCTTCAGAAGAAAAGGCGGAAGAGTTAGTTAGTTAGGCCACAAAGCCATCCGCCACCAGAACCAAAAAAAAAATTAAAAACCAACCAAAAAACTCTTAAAGTACCCTTCCTCTTCTTCCTCCTCCTCCTTCGTCGTAGTCGTTGTCATCGCGGTGGTGACGATCGGCGAAAGGGAAATTCATTTTATCTCAATAAGAAAGGAAAGAAAGCTCTGCAGTGAAAAAAATGGCGTACAGAAGAAGGCAGGGGATGTCGAGAGCGTCAACTTTCAAGGAGGAGATTATCCATCGCCCACCTGATGACAATTCTGCTTCCATTTTGCAATCTTCGTCTTCTTTCTCTGGTTCTTCGTCTCTCGCTGCTCAGGCCATTCGTGCTTCCGCTCTCTCCGCTGAGCGCAACAACAACCGATCCAAGGTTTCCTTTTTCTGATCACTCGGACAATTCTGGATCTTGCTGTTACTTTTTTATAAATTTCGTAATAGCTCCTCTGTTTCTCTGATCTGATCTGCTTATTACTGGGTTGGTTTTATTTGCAATGGTTTGTGACCCTGTTCTTAATTTGTGTGGTAAGAAATGATTTTGATCAAGCCTTATAAATAATGCAGGATTTTTCTGCATATGATGAATCGGCCACAAAATCTGGGTTTTGGGGTGTTCTGGCTCGCAAAGCTAAAGCCATTCTTGATGAGGATGGTGAGTTTCTGCAAGATGATATGCTTGGAGGCGTCAGCTCACAGTCCTCCAATGCCTCCACTGGCACCCAGGTGAACTCCAACTTGATCTTTGTTTGCAATATTGAAATGGGCTTTCTTCAAGTTTCTTTCTGACGCACCATATACAAATATCATTTCATGCACAGACAACTTTTGATTGGAATTTTCTGAGCTTTGTTGTGTAATATTTTGGTGTGTTTAACTTTTGGAGACAGTTCCAACAACCCCATCTGTCATCTGACAACTCTGTAAGAATGGAAAATCCTGCAATCCGCAAGGGCTTGGACAGAATCACAACTTCCCTCAATCAGCTTGGTGACACTTTCGAGAAGGCTTTTGAGGTTGCTAAAACTTCCTTGCTTTTGATATGTCAAATTCAGTAATTTAGGAAGAATTTTATTCACAATGCAGTTTATGGCTTTCAGGAAGGTCGTACGATGGTGGAGAACAAGACTGCCGACATCAAACTGCAAATTAAACGAAGGGGAGACCATCCTGAGGCACAAGCTTATTATGTGAACCAGAGCAATTCAGGGCAGCAGCCTAAGAACCCTGATACTCAACTTAAGGCATCACGCGACGTAAGGTGGCAATTATGTTATTGTGTGACTGGTTTGTGTTGTTAGAAGTAGAGAATATTCTAATCAAAAGACTAAATGAATCTGATTGAAGTTATTGAATCATTCTAAAGTTGATCTATATGTTCATGAAGGGTTTGAATGTCGTTCTCATTTTTCGTTTATTCATTTAGACTTCACTTAAGCCAGTGGAATGCATAAATGGTCTTTGTTTTGGATCACAGGTTGCAATGGCAACAGCTGCCAAAGCAAAATTACTTCTTCGGGAGCTGAAAACTGTTAAAGCAGATTTGGCTTTTGCAAAGGAACGATGTTCTCAACTAGAAGAAGAAAATAAACGCCATCGTGAGAATCGTGACAAGGGAAACCACCGAGCAGATGACGACTTGGTATGTCTCCTGCTTTTCTTGTCAGTTTTCATTGTGCTGTGTCAAAGTTCCTAATGCAGGATACTGCATTCTCTGCTTCTTTGTTTCTCATGTTGTGTATAATTTCTGTTAGCCGATAGGCAAATGCTTGCACATCTATGTATCTCCAGTTGAGTGCTTAAAACTTCTTTGTTTCTAACATTATTATATATGTGATGATATCAGATCCGCCTTCAACTGGAGACACTGCTGGCGGAGAAGTCACGCTTAGCGAATGAGAATTCAGTTTATGCTCGCGAGAATCGGTTCCTAAGGGAAATTGTTGAATATCACCAGCTCACAATGCAGGATGTTGTGTATTTAGATGATGAAGAAGTTACAGAAGTTTACCCCTTAACCAGCTCCACCGGGGTCTCCAGGATGCTTTCCATTTCCCCGCCCTCAACACCTCCTTCCCCGCCTCCGGAGGACCCTTCACCTGTAACCGCACCAGTTACTGAAGAAATATCACCTCTCCTCACCAAGCCACAAGAAAATAAAGATGTTTCTGCAAATGAGGCCACACCAAGTTCCAATGTCTCAGGTCCTAATAGAGAAGATACTAAAACACCTTCTTCAGCAGAAGCTGCTACTAAAACACCTCCTATAGCAGAAGGAGCTACTAAATCACCTTCTGTAGCAGAAGCTGACCCTAAAACACCTCCTACAGCAGAAGCTTCTCCGAAAACACCTTCTGTAGCAGAAGATACGAAAAGACCTCGAGCTTCTGCATAAGCAACGTTGTTCGTTTTCATTAAAGATTTAGAGTAGCATTTGTTATTTTTTGTTCTTCCTTTTTCTCTTGGAGAGGAGGAAGAAGAGGAGGGTGGAAGGGGGTATTCTTCTTCCAATTACAATATTATTTGTGGATGTAATATTCCGTTTGAGGTTGGGTTGTTTCTACTAGTGCCCTGTGTACCTCTTAGTACAAGATCAAATATTGTCCATTGTCTTCCTTGTACAATCGGTGCACCATTTTTGTTCCTGAGTTTTCAGATTTCTTATTTGATTTGTATTGATTTGTTCTGAATAATATTGTCAGTTCTTACGACACATTTATTCTCTGTCGGTCAAACCTGTGCGGTTTTTCAACTTCTCATGTGCTGCAATTATTTAAACCAAAATCTTTTGTTCCATTCTTTATTAACTTAAATCCAATCACTTGTCGCGGACATCCCTTCACGACATCACACACACCACAAACAGAGAAATGAATGATGACAAAAGAATCAGAATGCATGCTTTAAAATAAAATAAAATAAATGTCTTCGTGCCATCTGAACAAGAAAGACAGGGTAATATTTCCTTCTGTTTCTTCTTATTAATATATTGCGGGTTTTCCTTAATATTTTACATAAAGAAATACAGTGAACAAACTACATGATTAGTTATTTCCTCTCAACATTCAATTGCATCAGATTTCATGCATGCATTTAGTCCCCAACTATGAGAGCAAGAAAGAGAGATGAACATTTGGAAACAATTAAATTCAGGTTTCTTTCTTTTTTTGCAAAAGTATTATAACATCTCAGAAGGTGATCAAAGCGCCTCACATTCTAATCTGCCAATCTATTTCACATGTGGAAACTTCCCCACATAAATGCATCAAGCGATTTGTCGATACAATATAAGGTAAGAAATAAAAGAAAGAAATACTGGAAGGAGAAACACCACTCGTTTCGGCAGAATCTCAAAGCTCTCGGATCCCTCTTCAACAATAGTCTCCAATTTTGGAGAATTTGAACATTTTTCATGGGAGATCATTAGCTGCGGTGCGACTTCGACCCAATTGTGCATGTACCTCCCTCCCTTCACCATCACTGTGTGGATCAAAGCTTGTCAAGAACTCTCCAAGAAAGCTAATATAATCAATCAATGTTAATTGTTAATGCAGTTCTTGCATTCAGGGAGAGAGATTCATGGGGTTTGAAGGAGTGGGTGAATCATTTTATATATACATTTCGTGAGGGCAATTTCTGAAGTTAGAGGTGCAAAAATAGAAGGTAGTTGGCCTTGCTTCATCGATTTGTGGTGGACACAAGGCCATATGAGCAACATTCGAAGAAAGCAAAGCCTGGGAGAAGATTAGATTCTACATTCTATAATTGTCATTTGCCAACCCATGAAAACAAACAATATATAAGAGAATAATTTAGAAGGAAAACAATATTGGAAAATGCTGTGAAGGAAGGGGGGAGGGGCGAGGGAAACTTTCATTCATGGCAAATAGACAGTTGTATATGGTTATCAAAAGAACTATGTTGCTTAATTGGCGCATTACATACATTTGACTTTTTCTCGAAAGGACGTATGAACAGTACCCAGTTCAGTTATACCCAACAATTGTTTTTCTTTCAAAGGGCAACCCATGAACAAGGCAGAGCAAAAATACAATCAAATATACCAGTGTTGTATAGTTATAAGGATCAGGGTTCAGGAGATGGCTGCTTTGAACAAGATTTGGAACTCCGAAGCAGAAAACTCCCCGTTTTTACAGTAGACGATTTCAGAACAGCTGGAAAAACAAACTCGTTGATCCATCGCCGAATGATCTAAGATCTGCAGGTTTTACCAAAGCTCTGCACAATGGGCACGTCCGTTCTCTCTCAAACCTGAAAAAACCGTAAGTATGTCAGCAGCCAAAACGGGTACAGTAACCAAAGCGATTGAATGGTTGTTCATCAATTCTTCGGGGTATTACTCGCAATATGATCCCGTTCCATGGAAATTCAAACTAATTTTAACAACTCAAACCTATAATACTAACAATGTGCTAAGCTTTTAACAAGTAAATCATCATGAACAAGAAATCAAAAGTCTACTCTGTTTCTGAAAGAGGTTATCACAGTGTGAAACTTGCATTACAAGATGATTGGTAGCATAGGTAAACAGTTTCAACAAAGACAAAATGTAACTAGGAAATTAGCTGAAAAAGTTATGAAATGCAATATATATAAAAACAAAATCTAAACAACAGAAGTAAACTAACCACTCTGATACGCAGTCCTCACAAAAGATGTGTTTACATCGAAGTAGGATAGGAGCGTGCATCTTCTCCTGGCAAATAGCACAAAGATCGCCAGCTGCATTGACCTGCATCAAACAACCGAAAACTTAAAATGAATGAACCACCAGCTCTTCCATGAAGGGATCAAAACTACCAAAATGAAACACAAAGATCTTAAAAATCCAAGGCAAAAGTTTTAGTTCCATATTAGTGGTATACACTAGCTCTACTTCAAGCAGTCCATTCAGCAGGTTTAAAGAAGAGTTATGATTATATTACCACCAACGAATATCCTACTGGAAAAGTACCACCAACTTGCATGTAGAGATTGGACCCATAACATCATGCAGTCCATTCAATTGCATGGCAAATTCAATTGGGCAGAAAAAGATACCAGTTTACCTGTTCCGATGTTGCATATGCCCCATAGTGCACCTCTTTACGTGACAATGCCTTCAATGCAGCAAAGAAGGATTGCACCTAACCACAACGTGAAAGAGGAGAGCAAAAAAAAGTAATAACAAGTGAGAAACAATCTTTCTGGAAGACATTACTAATGAAGAGGTGAGAAAACTTCGGAGATATCAGGAGCATAAACTATATTAACATTAATTCTTACCTTCTCAACAACAGATGTGAGCTTGAAAGTCAAATATAACCCCGTCATTAGTGATGAAAAGAGACTCCCATATTCTTTGTTCAAGAAGAAACGATACCACACTGGTGTTGGCAACAAGGCACGGTACAAGAGCAGTAAATACTCAAGCAGAGTAAGCATTTGACCCTAGAAAATAGGCACTTCTTCAGTCAAGAGATCATGGGAAAAATGGATGGGAGAAAACTGTCAATTATATGAAATTGTCCCTTAATTACAACAGCCTGAAATTTACCCAAATCTACTTTTGCTTAACTACTTATTACCTCACCTGCTTACGATAGTTTCGGCCTCTGCTGTTTTTGTAGTATATTAATAGAATGCACTTGAGCACCATTGCTGCCTGCCGGACCAGGGTGTCTGAAAGTAACCAATTTGAAGTTACCATCACAAGGCACTAAAATTAACTAACAGAAGCTTAACACACAGAAATAGGAATGAAGAAGCATCTAGGAACAATAACAGTCTTCTTACTAAACCCTTCATGAAGAGACACGTGTGGAGAGGTTTTTTTTAAAAAAAAAAAAAAATTTGCAGAGCATTAAAAAATGCTTTCACTACAATTAAGCTTTACCACACATAAGGCAAGTAAAATGCAAGGCTAAGAGTAGATTTGTGTTTTCTGCCTTTGACAATGAATAAAAGATATCTGTGCCAACAAAAGCTAAAAGGTTAATTACAAGTGCACCGTAAAAGTTTCACACTGTAGATGAAAACAATAACTTTCCTAGATGATATTTGAAATCCTTATAAGAAACAAAACCTAAATGCTAAGGTCTTAACACTTTTTCATTGCTATCCTATGAACAATGTCATCGAATGCAAGTTGTTTAAGAAGAAATTATCACATAAGATAATTATTTGCAACATGAAAATATAAAATATAAAATTTGAAAAGAACAGGGACAATAACAGCTTGGTACAAAAGGAAATTACCATTCACCATGATGATGAAAACAGCGTGCCAAAATGGTGGTATAAGTTTAGGAGGAAGCATAATTAATGGGTACAACAGATCATCATTCTGATACCACCAGTAAACACCAACCACGTGCAATGCAAATGCAAGAGAGATGCCGATTAGAACTGCGACTTTCCTCTCTCCCTGCAGCCACCAACCACATCTACTCTTAATAAACAAAAAACACAAGAGCAACTGTTGAAAGTTGAAAAAGCTATTAAGACATGCATATCACAAATACCTTCAAAGCTGTCTGTTTCCTTAGAATATCATTTGACTTGAACATAACAGCAGCAATCCAAATTGTAACAAAGAAACCTGTAGTCATTGCAGAATGAAAAGTAGTCACTCATTTAAATATGCCTTAGCTCGTTGTAACTGAAAACCATTATTGTACAAATGCAAGTACACTCATTTAGTTGCTAGTAAGAACAAATTCGATACAAAAAGTAAAATCAATTCCTGTTAGGTTCCCAGATAGATACCAGACCTGAAAAGGTTATCACTGATGAAGACAGATATAACTAAACAGATGTCTAACTACAAGTAAACATCAACCTTTTGCAATAGAAAAGCATAATCTAAAGTTGGCAAGACTCATACCCTGCAAATGCTGGCGGATGAAGACAACCAATAGAAGCAAAGAAAAGGGAAGGACCTGCTCAATCCACCTAGCAGCCTGCTGAATGTCATATCTCTGGTAAGAAGAATCTCTGCCATTAGACCCAGCTCCATCAACTCCTTCTCCATCAGCACTTCCATTTAACGATTGGGGCATGCCCTCTCCCGAACTACGATCTGTTCTGCCATCTGTCTGACCCTCCTCTGTTGTCAATGACACAGACGCCACCCCTGCCATTGGTGGTGCAGAAACCTCATTTGGGGGAACAGTAACTTCCCTCAACTGTCCAACTACTAACCCTGGGCCTTCCCTGTCATGCTCCTGCTCCCCTGCACCAATTATCCTAATGGAAACCTCCCCGTCGTTGCTTGTGGTTGGAGATTGGTCCAGCTGACTATGATGGTGATCCCGGAAAGCAGCAGCGCTACGGCCGTTAATTAAAGATTCAGCTTCTTGGTGATTAGAGCGGCCACGGAGAAGACCCGAGTACTCCAACAAGGCAGAAAGTGGTGCCTGAATGATATTGGAAGCGGATAACATTCCATATCTTCTAGAAATACTATTTCCCGAAGCAGCTCTAAACGAGTCCAGATTGCCAGCCGGCACTTCCATTTGCCTAAATGCCCTAACCCTAAGCATGGCCATCACGCAATAATAAATATACAAATAAAGTAATAAGCCAAATATTCCCAGAGCAAGTCATGTAAATATAAAACAATACGAATCGTTTCTTCCGTGTAAAACAAGAAAGCCCAATACAAAGGGCGTGATTATAAGCATAACTGAAA